GTACTCGTCACGAAGACGAGTTAGAGAAAGCTTACGATAGGTGTTTCCGATAGAAGACAGAGGTCTTGTACTATCGGTAACATAGGCAGAAGCCTAGAGCTATCGTAAGACAAGGCAAGAAAGGGGAAAGGAAAGATAAGTATCGTTCCCAGTCGCCAAGAACTAACTATCTGTCAGGGGATCGTTACACCCAAGAACTAAAAATTGCTGCGGCATCCTCATCTACTCTGGACTCTTGGCTGGCCACTGGAGCAGTCAAAGTTGACCGAATACAATCTTCCTCAAATCCACCTCCATTAAGTCTCAAGGAAATTCATGACCGGATAGTCGATAGTGCGATTTGATGTCTAAAAAAGCTATTAGAGTCCAAGTCTAAGCCAATTGGGCAGGATTATAGTCGCCATCTTGCCGTTTTCCACTTTCTTTACCTTCAAAGGAAGCGTCCAGGAGCTTCTCACAAAGAGTTATCTTTGGCCGCAGTCAATGCCTTCAATCGAGGACGATGGGTGGCTGAAAAAATTATCACTTGGGAAAGGATCTGGATATCTGAACGCCGAATTCCTGAAGGAATGTAGGATAAAAAAAGTAAAATTATCAGCTGGCTGAATGATGAGGAAGTTCAGCTTGCTGTCAGGGAATACATATCAGGAGTAGGAGAAGGGATATCTGCCTTAGGACTAGCGAAGGCAATAACTACCTATGTAACGGTAGTTGAGGCTGAGAAGGACTTAGTAGATGCTTTAGAAGATGAGGCCAGGGAGGCAGGAAGGGAAGAAAGAAAGAAGGAGAAAACTGGCATTAGAGCAAGGACTGGAAGGCGCTGGCTGAGAAAAATGGGCCTTCAATACTGGGAGGTGAAAAAGGGAGTTTTCATCGATGGGCATGAGCATTCTGATGTGATCGAATACCATTCAACAGTATTTCTACCACGATACCGGGAGCTACTAGACTCTTCTCACCAGTGGGCAGATGAGGGTGATATTGTTCCTTCAGTACTCTTACCTGGTAAAAAAGAAAAAATCTTAATCACTCACAATGAATCAACTTTCTATGCTCACGATGGTCGCCGATTTATGTAGTTAGAAGAAAATAAGCAACCTCTACGCCCAAAGAACCGAGGACATGGAATTATGGTTTCAGAATTTCTGACCCCGGTGGGTCGCCTCTGTCTCCCAGACAGTATTACCGATGAGGAAATAAAATATCGATAACTACCTCACTGTCAAGCAACTGAGTATCTGGAGTAAGGAAAGGACAATTACTGGGATGGTGATAAGATGGTACACCATACCTTAGAGATTGGGCTTCCCATTTTTGAAAAAGCATATCCTCACTGTCAAGGTGTTTGGTTATTTGATAATGCAACAAACCATTCTGTCTATGCAGATGATGCCCTGGTAGCTAATCAAATGAACTTTAAGCCTAGTGGACAACAACCAGTCATGTGAGAAGGCTTTATTCACTCTAAAGGCCAGCCACCACCTATGACCTTTCCTGTCAATTATGGTACTCCAGCTCTCCAAGGCCTTCCAAAAGGAATGAAATAAATTCTAATAATGCGAGGGCTCTATCGTCCTAAGCTTAAAGCTATATGTAAGAACTCTAAAGGAAAAAAGATGTACATGCCAGAAGGTGTTGACTGTTGTTGCCAACATATCCTCAGCCTTCAGAGGGACTTTCTTGAGCAGAAAGGAAAGCTGCAGGAAGAATTGGAGTCCCGTGGGCACATTGTTCTCTTTTATCCTTGCTTCCACTGTGAATTAAATTTCATTGAATACTTTTGGGAATATGTAAAGCGTGAGGTAAGACAAAATTGTGATTATAAGATGGATGGTTTACGAGAAAATGTGCCTCGGGCATTGTCTAATATTCCTACCTCAACAGTATGGAAATTTTATACCAAGTGCCTTCGTACTATGTATGCGTATCGCGATGGATATATCTATGGTACGCAGGACTTTCAGCACCATGTATATAAAGGTCACCAGAGGATTAAGGAAAAAGATGTGGATAGGTAGCATATTTCTCTAAGGGCGTAGTATCTTACTCTTATTAGAAGCGCGTTGATTCTGGTCATTAAGTATAGAGATATATCATTCGAGTGATATTCCATGCTTCACTCAATACTCTTGGCACTTTATAGTCCCGGTTTTTTCCTGTAACATTACTTCTGTTCTCCATACAAATTGCCCTAACTTCAAACCCTTATCCCTCTCTAACTGGTTAAGCTTTCACAGGTTTAAGAGCGACCACTGATAGAGCACATCAAAGAGTACATGTTTTCGCTCTTAAAAAGAAAAAAAGTGCTTTTATGGTGGAGTAGTAGACCATCAAACTGGTACAATAATATTGGCAAAAGTACCCAGGTTATGCTTGACCGGAACTGTAGTGGATCCCACGAGATTTTATGGTACTGTAATTAACTTACTACAGTACAATAATACCAGAAATAGTCTACTCGTACATACTGGGGTAGCCAAAATAACCTTGAAAATGACGAAAAAAATCATCACCTTGTCAATTTTCAGGTTGTCCCAGCGCACCCACAACCCCAACGCATGATATACAAGTACCGTACCGTACCTACCGGTAACCGCCCCCAAGCCAGCCTCGTGGGGCTGACAGCGAAAGTGCCGGGCCAAGTCTACTCGGCAGACGCTTTTTCTTTTTTTTTTCTTCTTCATCTTCTCACTTTTGAGAAAAGGAGCGGGTTGAATGTGAGACTTTGCTGCCGCTGGTCTATCATCATGAAAAGAGCGGGAAGGTATGGAAAAGGTTTACAGTAGTTCATGCCTGTGTGCCTCGCTGTTACCCGTACTGTACCTAGTAGACTACTCCTCGGTTGGTGAAGGCTGTGGTTCTTTATTTTTATTTTTAGTAACGACTACGGCACTGTAGACACGGGAAGTTCGTTTGTTTTACCGAAATGTTTATACAATAAGGTTGTTAGCCGATGGTGGTCTGGGATGAACACGTTTTGGACAGGATGATCTGGATGCTGTGTCTAGGAGTTAATACAGAACTTACTAATACGGTATCATACCAGTCATGATATATACCTTATGATACCCGTGTGCGAAACCACCACATACGGCAGGGCCAGGACATATGGCGGTCCGAACTCTGGTGTCTTAGTGAGTAAGAGGAGGGTACGGTATTGCTGTCGTAAAAGCACAATTGTGGCCTATGAGAGAGTTGACTTGTGCGAAGCCCTAATAATACCTACCCATGATACCTTACCATACAGATCGCGAACATGTACTGTACTGTACTGTACTATCGTAGTATAGTATGGCTCGGGTTTGGGAACAATGCTTGTTTTGAAAACGGAATTGGTAAGCTGCGATGGAATCTCATGAGCCATGAGATGTCAATTAAAAGACGAGAATTTTAGGCTTTACTCCACTTGATTTTGCCCATGACGCGCCGTTTGTATGACCTGGGGACGATGCGGGTGTTGGATCTGTGTTCAGCAGTATGGGTGATGTACAGTACTGTACAGTACAGTACCCGCTTGTCCATGTATGATGCCTAAAGTGGGTGTGGCGGGGTGATAGCAGTGGTACTGTATATCTGGTATTCGAGAAAGAAAGAAAAAAAGAAAAAAAAGCCGGTACGCAGGCTACACATTAAAAAACATACCAAGGACAGACAAATAGATACGAGAGAAATTCGTTTTTTTTCTTTCTCTCCGGTGGATGGGCCAAAACCCCTATGAGCGCAATCGAGTGTGTGAAGACTAGGCGAATAAACCAGCAAGATGGTGGTAGTAGGCTCAAATAAATTGATATGGTAACAAAAATTGCACAAGTTGCTACCTCCAATATTAAGTTTACTAATGTATGCGCCAGAGGTGATTATATGATACTCGAGTACAGTACCGGTACACCGAAGGCTAAAATGTATTTGCCGTTCCAAGTACTCGTACCCTCAGAGCTTCACTCTCCAGTTCCCCAGTTCACAATTGCATAAACCTTTTTAAAACACGGATATCGCAATGCCCGAACCCCGCTCTCCTTTCTCACAATTCGCCTCCAATCAATCCAATCAATCAATCCACGATGTTATATATGATACCGATACCGCGACATACAACCCGAACACCAACCGTACCGTACTGTACCTCGAGCAATCACTCACCTCCTACCACCTTACAAATCCGCAGGAACCAACCCGAATCGAAATACTCGGACCAGCCACTACAAGTAATAGGACGTCAGAGCCGCCGCCTTCTCTCCAGCTACGATAGATACTATTAATAATAATCTCCGTCTCCACTCCCCCCTTTTTCTTTCCACAGGAGGAAAATTACAAACTGCACAGCTCCCGTCATTCGAGTTTTTTTTTCTTTCACTAAGTTACGGCAGCTTGTTCTCGCCACCACCCTCCCGAACCCCCTCCCCCTTGCCAGATTACTTACTACTTGTCGGGGGGGGGGGTGGAGAAGGAGCTTGGCAAACAATCGAGCACAGCCCAACATACAATATATAATACCTTACTAACCCGCTGCCCGGCCTGCCATCCGTCCACATTCTACAAATTCCCAGAATATCACTTGTACCACAACCTCCAAAAAGGCAATTCCCACCCCCCCGGGGGCGCGTAATAACATTCTCACCACCATCTTCGCTGCGAAGGTACGAGTAACGTATTACCGCATATTCCTGGTAAGGTTATGATAGGTTGGGCACCCGCAGCTGGGTTACGGTATCGTATCGTATCGCAACTCGTGCAAGCATGTATGTATCATAATTCCATTCCCACTTACTTCTGCTTCCTTCCGCTTCGTTTTTGGCTTTGTGGCGGTACTATTATATAGCAGGATGGGGCGGGGCGGGGTATAAAGTGTTCTTCTATCACACAGCTTACGGTTACGGGTAGACTGCTATAAAAAGAGGATAAGGTTTTCTTCTTCTTCTTCTTTTCTTTTTAACTTCCTTCTTCCTTCCTTCTTTCATCCTTCCTTCCTCCCTTCCTTTTTTTTCTTTTTCTTTTCCTTTTCATAATCGCCGTGTTGTGTCTTTTTACACACACACATGCCGGTCTTGGTACCGGATTTGGAGCTAGAGTTGATAACCGGTATCCACGAGGGCAGGGTCGAGGAAGAAGTGCGAAGTGAAAGAAAGAAAGAAGAAAGAAAGGCGGGGAGGCGATTGACAATACCTAAATAACTTCTCCTTCTCCTCTTTCTTCACATTCATCTTTGTCGGGTTACCATTTTTCCTCCAAAGACAACGATAACGAACCGCCTACGGTAACCCATCATGCCCACCGCCACCTCTCCTCCACTCTACTTAAACCCCCGATGGACAACCTCACTACCCCCGCAAACAACCACTTTTACCCTCCTCCTCCTCGACACCACCATTCCACCCATCCTTTCTCCCACCACTTCCTATCCTTCGCAGTCGAACCCATATTCCCCGCCAACAACTTATGCCTACACCACCCCTTCCTCCTCCTTATCCTCCAGCGTGGGCATGATACTCGGAATATCGCTCGGTGCGGTGATGCTTGGCAGCGGTGTCGGGGTGTGGGTCTGGTGGGTTAGGAGGCGGAGGAAGGGGTATGGGGCTTTGGAGAAGGAGGGGGAGGGGGAGGGGGAGCTTTTCTGATTGTAATATAGAAATAGATGGATAAGAGGAGGGGTATATATTGGGATTGAGACTGTAAATTCTCAACTTGGCGGAAAGAATACCGTCAGGTCTTGTTTTTTTTTTTTTTGGAGTTTGGAGTTTGGGATTTCATACATAATTCATCACTCGTGGGGGGTCGGTTTGTTCTGGATTGTCGGTATCATTCACATCTGTCAGAATGAAATGGTAGGGGGGATGCGAGTATTAAAACCATACTAACATAACATATCACACCATAATAAATGCTTTGGAATAAAAAAAGGAAAAAAAAAAAAAGAGACAAGCCACCACCTACCAAACAAGTACGTACAAGTTCAACCACAGATTAGGAAAGAAAGGAAAAAAGGCACTGGGAGCTGATCCCAAGATGCGTATTGCCCGCTGGACCAGATCGATTCGTCCCCCACCACCAATAAGCCAATCAATCAATGACCCATATAATTTATACTCCGGTCTACATGAATCAAAAGGGAAAGGAGAAAAAAGAAAGAAACCAAAGACTTTTTGACAATCGGCTTCCTAGGATGGCTCATCCCCCAAACCCAGCAGCCTGGCACTCAGCTTCAGCGTGGTTATTTTCACCGTTATCCCTTTTCTTATGCTCCTCGCCCAGCGCTTTACTGCCTTCACCACATTCCCCCACTCGAAATTGCCCCATGCTACGATCCCTGGCCTCACGGGCGGATAACAGGCTATCGTAGAAAGCGCGGACCTTGTCATGCGCCATGACCTTGAACCTGTCGAAGCGGAGGACTTGAAGACCATCCGTACATGTAGCTCTACTGAGAGCGACGTAAGCTTGGCCCTTTTCAAACACCTTGCCCAGGTCCACTTTAACTCTCTCCAAAGTCTGACCTTGAGCCTTGTGGATTGAGAGGGCCCATGCTAGGATTAGTGGTATTTGGAAACGCTGCGCTTGTACCTCGCCGTTGGGAAGCTCGACTTTCCAAATCTCGGGCTGGACCAGAAGTTGCCGGCTTGTGCCATCTGGGAGAGCGAATTGGACGAGTGGATATTTGTTCGCAGTGGTGATAGGTCCAGTTGCCTCCACGCTTCCTTTCCCCGAAGGTCGATTGTCTTCTCCGTGTTCGAGCTCTGCCATCGTTGATCCAAGGCTGTCTGGCTCCTCACGATACAGATCAAACTCGGCCTCATTCATGAAGCCGACAACGCGGCCGAGTGAGCCATTGGCAAGAGTGTCGTCATAATTTTTGATCAACATCACCTGAGAGTTTACCTTGAGCTCAATCCTCTGAGGAGCCATACAGTTGCTAAGAAGCTTGTCTCGGTAATTCTTGTCCGTAATCGTCCCAGTATCGAGGGCTTCAAATACGCGGCTCTGACCGTTAATTTGCCGCATCTTGTGGAGGTTGGCTGCGTCAACCTCATGACGCGTGGGAAAGCTAAGCAAAGTCAATCGTAATGCACAATCAAGCCACGCTTATAGGATCCCTTACAGCTCAGTAGCCTCTATGCCGTCGCTATAAGTTAAAGGGCGACTAAGCTCCCGGAAGAAGTTCACAGAATCAGGGGTCAGGTGGCCAAGTCTCATTTCGTTCAAAATGTTGGCAAACCCTGCGCCAGGCGCCCATAAGTCACTAAACATAACTGAACGATTGAGTGGTAACTCACTAGGATCTCGTTGTCGAAAGATTTGAGTGAGCCCAATGGTATGTATGATCGTGGTGGGCCAACTATTAGCATCGAACGCAAATTTTGCGGGTTTCCCGGATTCCGGCACAGGAGGCAGTTGGAAGAAATCGCCAGTTATCACCAGTTGAATACCCCCGAAAGCAGTCTCCCTGTGCCGTATTTCACGGGCAATACGCTCAAGCTTGTCGAACAGATCACCATCAACCATAGATATCTCATCAATGACAAGCACCTTTGTGCGCAGCCATCGATTCTTCGCTTTTAGATTCTTCCGGATCTTTTTGATCAGCTCCCCGACGGGATCTTTTCCGAGCCCGATACCTGCAAAGCTGTGCAGTGTAACACCGCCAATGTTACAAGCCGCAAGACCAGTCGAAGCCGTTACGGCAACGGCATCCCTAGCCTCTTTGTGCTTTTCCCGCAGTGCGGCAATAACTTCTCGTAATAGAACAGATTTACCCGTACCTATATGTGGATCTTAGTTCTGATATTGGCGATGCCATCCATGTACGGGGAGAGATGAATAAATAAGAGTATGGGGGGGGCAAAATAGATATCAACCGACCAGCTGAGCCAGTGAAGAATACGCCTTCCCCACCATCACCCGTCACAATATCGAGAACATGGTTCTGCTCGTCGCTTAGTTTCAACTTCCGCTGCTTGGTTTTTTTCATCGTAGCTGGAGTAGCATCCGCGGCCGACAGGGTGGAGTAAGCGCGTTTCTGTTCCAACCTCTTCCTATTAGCATTCTTCACATCGAATGCCGTCATATCCCAATGGTACTCTTGTTTCTTTGGTAGAGCTGGCCGATTTAGAGGATGTGAATCATTTGCAGTTTCTCTGGCGGGCCAGGGCCAATTTTTCCGCTTTTTTGGGGGGTGGGCTTCGTCGGAATCTTCTTCAGAATCTTCCTCAATCACCATAGGTTGTCCTGCAGAACCACGAAGCATGGCACCACCGGGTTTCGCAAAATGTTCGGCAGGCGAGGAAGACCAATCGACTGGAGCACTGCTGTTAGGGGCACCCCCAAAGTGACTATGTTCCAAGATCGTCTTCGGAGGTGGCAGATTCATTCCCTGTGTTGGGAGCGAAGGTGCCCAGGCACTTGCAGTGGATGGTGCAGTTGCTATTGTGATCGAATCGTCAAAGTTAAGCTCTCCGTCACTCTCAAAGTCATTCTCATCGAAGTAGACAGCATCATGAAGCGCCGATAGTGAAGAGGCGGATTGTGACTGGAAGTACCGCGACTGCTGTGTGATGGGGTCTGCAGGTGGCTCGTTCTCTATAAACGCGGTGGTATTGCTTAAAGCACGAACAATCGACTCCTTCGTTCTATGGCTTTGGTATGGGCTCGCTCGAGGGGGGGCAGGCACCGTAGCGGCTGTACGATTCGAGTCATAGCTGTTGAAAGGTTTCGGTGATTTTCCTGATTGGAGACCTTTCGAAGATTGGCTCGGAGTGATAGTAGTTTGCATGGAAGGTTGAAATTGATGCTTCTTTGGTGGAGGGGGAGGTGGCGGAAGCTCGGAAAACATGTTTGGGCAGTGGTGGGAGGACGATGAGCAACGAGATTGTTGTGGTGGAGGGAGGTGGTGGTGGTGGGAAGTGAGCCGCGACCAACAAATGGGGAGGAGGGGAGGAGGGTCCAGGCGTAAGACAATCCGGAGATAACAAGGAAAGGAAGGGGTCGACCGTCGTCGAGTCCAACAACGCAGCATTCACCACACGCAATTGAAGGTATTCTTGAAAAGAGGAAGTAATTAAGAAAAAAGGGGCTCACGTCCGTAACCAGTGGCCCTCAGTATTGAGTTGTGGTGGTTTGATTGTTGTCGCAGTGGGGTTTTATTCTATTGTAGTTTGTTCTCTAGTGGTGTTTTTTTCTTTCTCCTTTTTTTTTTTTTCCCAATGGCAACGCGACGATACCTGTAGGGTTAACCTAATCGCTAAATCTACGGGCATACCTACCGTCACCGCTTGCAAGTATGATAAAATGTAACTTTACCATAAACATCATAAGTTCCCGTTTGCATCAGTGCAATGATTGAGCACCGGTAGATTAACCTCTACTCCTTTGCCCAGTGCCCTTATAAGCCTTATTCTCAAAGACACGTATGACCTCACCCGTCAATGCAAATGTTTCGGAGACGCGTCGGTTCAACTATTACATCGAATTGTTGAACTTGGGTCACCCAGCGTCACCATCTCAGTCCCACCAAGAAGAGAGAGGCACCACCCCGCAACGCCGGATACAGTAGCCTAATTACAGGTAGTAAACCAGGGAAACCAGATCCATGATACCTGTGCAACAGCAATGATACTCATACAGTATTACCGATACCGGTATGCAGTCCAACGATGAGATAGATTCAAAGTGCAAATATTTGATGTGTTATAAGAATTCCGTATCATGGTCGTAGTCTAACACAGTATCATAATATCGTAGTGAGACTGCCCGGCCGTAGACCTAATTGATGGGGGACAGTATGAAGTTATTGAGCAGTTAATTCTGGTTAACCCGCCAAACGACCCTTGTCTTGTACTGTACTAGTACGGTACTGTGCTCGCGCGTCTTTGCCAGTGGTACTTGTACCTCCGCCAGCCGATGGCTCCGCACTTAAGGTTCAGTCCGTGTTGCAGGGCATCAACAACCATGGCTTAGACATTAAGATGCGCCCAAATTTTCTGCCCCTGCATGAATAGAATTGCATGGTGAATCTCAATATAAGAGCAAATGAAAATGATAGCAGAGCTCAGATAGAGTTAGACATATTTTCCCACCATTTTCCTGTAAATAATGTATATTTGGATGAGAACTTCAGTAGTACTGTACCTATCAAGAGCCTCCTCCTGTGCAATATTACCACTGGTTATTACAGTTGTTTGAAATGAATTTTACCTCGGAAGCGCCAAGCCATCGGGTACCGTAGGTATTCTTGGCAAAGACTCGCGAATACTCGTGACAAATTCGTTGATACGCGTGGAAAATAGCGAATTCTCAGCAAGTGACATTCAACTGCCCGGGAACAAAAGCTGCGGAGCCGGTATCGGTATGATCTGTTAAAAATATCACAATTGGGTGACGCTCAATTGTATGACATGTCTACGCACTTATGATACCGATCATTGACGGGGGACTACGAACTGGTACCGTACTCGAGCATGGGAGACACTGTTAGGGTTCGGAGAATTATAGTACCGGTATCATACGGTACTCGTAGAATGGGACGGGGGTGAAGTATCAGCGAATCTACCCGTAGCCCACGGCCTGGGTGCTTGGCAAGCAAACAGAGAAAATGAAGGTGAAACATAAAAGAAATCAAGTAGGTGAAAGTTGATAGGATATCGATTATGCCAGTAATAACAGTAGATAAAAGCGAAGCCAACTTGTGCAGAAAGGAATTTTCAATCGTTTAGGATTATTCCCCCAAGATTTGATGCAAGAAATTCTAACTTTCATAGCAACCAACCTCCTCCGCACCTGATATCGACAAAAACTTCTCTCTTGTAGGCTAACAGAACATGAGCTACACAAACTCTGGTTAGATTGATTGGTGCATTTCGAATCGCCCATTAACCACTTTCCTGGACGTTCCTGGTGGTATTATGGGAAGAGGAAAGCACTAAACCTTGGCGCTTGTAGATCGGACGGAACAAAGATGTGCTGCGCTAGACTTTTTACGGCAAGCAACCTCCACAATTGGGACCTCCCCGGTAATCAACTCCCGGTATCTTCCAAACATCTCCCACTCTCTTCATCTCTTGGGCCCTTCCCCTCTTTTTATCACTTGCGAGAGTCTCCCCCTTTCCCCTTTATCTATTCATTTATTTTGAATAGCTTTTGCACAATCGGCACTCTGATGGCGTCCTGCCCAATTCCAACCCCTAGTCCTCCAGGTACCCCGGGCATCCATCCACCTACGCCCACTAAACGTTCAACAGGGCTTGGGATCGAAGACCTGCCCTCGCTACTAAACTCTTCCTTTGACCCGAACGCTCTTTCGCCCTTGGACAATTGCCCCTCGTTTCCGGGGTATTCTTCCTCACCAGCTGTTTCAACCCCGCCGAATGGATCTGCTGTGGCAGCACGAAGGGGCTCTGGGAACCATGGCCCTTTCAATTTTCAGCCCATGGCAGCCTCCAAATCACCGCCTGTTCCTAAACCCGTACACATACACTTCCTTTCCTTTCCGCCCCCCCCCCCCTTTCCCTATGCTAGCGACGTGATCAGCTCTCCTAACGTTAATCTACGTGCCAACAATAGAACCAGCGACGTGGACATAGGTACAAGCATTCGTCCATTTCACACCAAATATTCCTAGAGCCTCCGGTCAGAGCGCCACTCGCTCTTCCATCCAGTCTGCCAATACCTACCAGAAAAGAGTTGATACGCTCAATATCCCCCGAACAACGTAAACGACTACTATGGTGCCTCTGCCACCTTTGTGCAGCCGGTTTCACTTTGTACAGTGCTCAAGGATCATTGGCCCTGACAGCATTGAGCCACTTGATCATGTTTGATGCCCTAGGAGCTAGCTTGTGTGTTGCTGTGGATGTATTGTCAAACTTTGAGGTTTGGAAGAGGAGCAGTGTTAAGCATCCATTTGGGTAAGAAATCAGCCTTGCATTCACCCCGGTAAGAACATTCGGCTAATAAAACATGGTCACGGAAACTGCAGTTTGGAAAGAGCTGAAGTTCTTGCTGGTTTTGCTATGTCCGTATTCTTGCTCTTCATGGGCTTCGACATCATATCGCATACGGCTGAGCACCTGGTGGAAGGATTTTATGAAGGAAGCGGAGGACATGATGGGGCTGTTGAGCACGAGGTACACGTCCATGAAGCGCACATGCACCATGCACGGGTCTCCCCTGGAAGTGTGGACCTGGCATCACTAGCAGCACTGATATCGACTTGTATCTCTGCGATCCTTCTCAGAAATCATGCCAGGATAGGCAAAGGTAGTACATACCCCCTCAGACCTACCATAGTCGGGAAAGTATATGATGGATATGCAAGCTGACACTCCGTCCAGCCATGCGTTTTGCTGCCCTTGATTCTCTACCCTCGATTCTTTCTAACCCCTCACACTTTCTTACCATTTTCTGCTCGTTTATCCTCCTTCTCATCCCACTCATATCTATTCATATGTCTGCCTGGCTCGACCGTGCTCTTGCGCTATCTATGGCACTCTGTATGATTGCTATCGGAGTCCGGCTTGTCAAGACGCTTGGCTCAATGCTGCTCATGTCTTATGGGGGCAAGGGTGTGTCGGACGTTGTGCGAGAAATTGAGGAAGATGCAGCCATCACTGGGATCCAAGAGGCAAGGTTCTGGCAAGTTCATCATGGACTTTGCATGGCAAACCTTAAAGTAAACGTGGGCGGATCAGTTATTGGAGAGAGCGGCGAACTAAGGGTCAGGGAGAGAATTACAAGATTAGTCAGGGATCGCCTCGGTGGCGGGTATGGAAAGGGAGCGCAGAGGTGGGAGGTTTCTGTTGCTCTGCACGCTACAGGATAGTTCTACATTGGTTGGTCGTGTTTTCTTTCTTTTTCTACGAGTAATGTCATCTATAGTGTTTGTAAGCAACTTTTTCAGATCACGGCCAAACATTATATAGTGCAAAGCGACTCAATCGTGGTCCTCAAAACAGGCAAACCCGAAATTGAACTAGTCAACAACAAAAAGGAATAATAAAAAAAAAAAAATCAGCGAGGAAGACATTCAAGAGGAGAAGAGGCCTGATGTTTTTTTTTTTTTTTTTTTAATAAAGTATTATTAGAAAAAGTAGTTCAAGTATGAAAAGTGCAAATTTTGGCGAGAGTGAAATATGTGATAGAATGTACATAGGAGCAGACTGAAAAATACTGAGGGACTAAGATGACTAAGTTGTAAAAATAATTAATAGATATCAAGTTATGAGAATGGTATACAGTAAGAGTAATAAATAATTACACATTCCACACAACAATACCATCAGTATACCTCCCTTAGTTAATAAATGGAAACACCAATGCAAAGTAGGAGCCCAAAAGGGACATTCTAAAAAAGTATACAGCATACTAGAATCACTGACTGGAACCTCATGCAGTGGTAATGCAAGTCTGATACCAGAGACCGAGTCCCGCCAGCAGGAAGACTGTACCCAGGAAGCAGAAGAATCTTCCAAATCCCAAACAGAGGCATCTTCACCTATCCAGCCTTACAGAACAAATGCCCCAAGGCCAAATACTCAGAAAGGACCATCTAGAACAATATTATGGCAAGGAGAATGTAAGGAGAAAGACAGAGTAAGACAGCTAGAGGAGTACAGAAAAGAGTATGAACTTGAATATTAGGAGGATATGGAGGGGGAAGTTGAAGAAAAGCGGCCAATGGTCACAAAAGAGATGAGCATGACAGTTCTCAAGAAAGGTATGATTATTTTCCTAGAATATGAATTGATCATAGTACTGTAGAAGAAGTTTTTACTAAATTCAATAATAATAATATAGAGCAGTTTTCGATATTTGTAATGTTCTATATCAAAAGAAAAGAACCTTCCACAATGTTTATATTCTTGACTACTACTTCTAAATCTTTGTTAGGTGGAGACAATCTGATATGCTTCAGAATTGGCTAGGCCAATCGAGATTCGTTTCTGTGAATGGAGATTGTCTAGGAAGGCTCGAGTTTACTCGTTTCATTTATGAGTACTAAGAGGGAAGTAAATTTAGTAAAGTAAGATAGAATCGTAAAACAATATTATATTATTAAGATCTCTTCTTGATGGATTGATGATGTCTAAAGCTTGGAAGGCACTTCGATATTGATATCCCATGTCTGAGTGTTCACAGACTACATCTATTTATCATACCACTATGTACCTCTTTTTTTATAACTTGCTATGTCGGGTATTCTTGAAAGATGCGAACACCTGGAGATCCTGAAAATCACTATACCCTCTTTAGCAATTACGATATAACTAACTCGGAACCATACCTTTCCCAATAGTAGTTATCTGATACTTAGAGTCTTTAGACTGGTGGCCTAGTTCTCCAGTTAAATTGACTTGGCTCTAATTGTCTCTGTTATTGATGAAATGATCAGTTTCATCTATGGATTGTATCAGCTAAGGTTGTCGTAATCACAAACCTTTTTCAGGTCGTCTAACTTTAAAGCTCCATAACTCTTTACACAACTCATAGATGTCTTCCAGAGGACTTCCTACTAATTTGCAGAAAGCTATTCCACCTGATTGACAAATATTCCCTCGGTCGGCAACCCTTGGTTGCTCTGGGTAACAGGATTTCAATCACTGTTGTAGTATTGGAAGTTATTCTTGTAACTACAATGTATTCCGAAGTCTAGTTGCAACACTCCATGAAGTCTAATAGCTTCTATAGTAGTGTCCCTTAGAGTTCTAGACTGTTCAGACATTGTAGGCTGGATGTGAATATATTGGTCTCTTGCTGAGATCCTTTACCATTCAATACTATTTCTTTGTACAGAAACGTCCCATTACTTACGGCCTATACTAAAAGTATCACATCTTTGAAGCTTTGTAACCTTTTGAGTAGTCCATGGATTTGCTCTGTTCTACTTCTCAGACCTAGCTAAAGGTCTCCTCCCATATATCCTGCAAACAAGGTCTGGTCGGATGGACAGTGGCGACATATAGGTATTAATCTAATACCTTTAATTCTATGGCATTAAAGTTCTAGGTGTCACGAATGTGGCTTAGCATAAAAGAGGTTTTCACGTGACACATGGTTATCAGTCACAGGTATGTTATTGTTTCTCACATATGACTCATTCGGGTCATATGATTTGTTATGTGTGGGATTTGTGATGCTTTTGCACCTGGCTCAAATATGAGTCATGGGATATGTGCCTGGTGAGTATGCCTTGCGAGGGTGCCTTGCGGGTAAGCCTTGTGCATATGATTTATGTTTTGCACATGACCTCGTTATGAGGTCGTGGGTTTCGCACACATGACTCAGTCGAGTCATATGGCTTGTGTATTGCGTTATGATTGGTTTATGAGTTTTTGTAGATGACCTCGCTATGAGGTCATAGGTTTTTGAGCATGTGATCACTGTGGTTACATGACTAGTTTGTTATGATTTGGTTTTGCACATGTGACCACTTTAGGTCACATGACTACGGGCGGGAAGAATACTATAAAAGGAGGTCGATGCAGCTGAGGAAGATAGGTTCTTCACGCTTTGTTCTAAGTACTTTTCCTACTTATTACTTTAATGAATATAAAACACCTTTACGATCTTTATCTTTATTGCAACGTTATCGTTACACCAAGGAAAGCGCTGTACGAAGAAGAGTTAGAGAAAGCTTACGATAGGCATTCCTGATAGAAGACAAAGGTCTTGTACTATCGGTAATGTAGGCAGAGGTCTAAAGCTATTGTAAGACGAAGAAAGAAGAAGACAGAAACGAGAAGTATCGTTCCCCATCGCCAAGAACTAACTATCCAAGAAGGGATCGTTACAATAGGATACAACTGAGATTGATATGTATTATGATGAGTGGGCCCCGTCAAGGTGCCAGAGGGGGGTGTTGGAGACCAGAGATTCTGATTCTAAGTAGGGTTACCTTACTTAGAATGACTGCTAGGTATTAGATCCTAATATTCCTAATAGTCTTCCAATATATAAATTGGCAAATAAAGTATCCAGATATGTCATGCCAGACAGTAGCACAAAATACAGCAACTAGATAGAGGCATAGCAAGCGGACAGCTGAAAATATCATTTGTTGAGAGAAGAACTGGATTAAAATAGAACTATTGTATCTAGTCAGCATGACCAGCATGCAAAGTCCCAAAGTATACTTAATGATGATGGAATATTGATTGCAGTACGTGAGTACTTACACGGAGCAGGTGAAAATATGTTATGTTCCTTGATCTCTGTAATATTTTAATCTTGAAACTAATATAGGATAAAATGAAATCATAGATATATCTGGATATGGCCTTGCCAAAGCAGTAATAGAGTATTAGACTACACAAACTAGCCTAACTGATATTGAGCTCTGTGCTGCTTGTATCTATAATGCTCTAATTGAAAAGAATACTAAGGGCAAAATAGGTATCACCACATTGACCACTATTCACTGGCTGAAAAAGCTAAGCTTTGAATGGAAATAAGTTCATAAAAGAGTATATATTGATGGGAATGGAAAGCCTAATGACATCTTTTACTGCCAGCTGTACTTTCTTCCTTAATGGTAGGAGCTCGAGAAACGTATACCTAAATAGCTGCCAACATGAGCTTTAGATCGAATATCATTACCACCTTGAGAGCGCATGCTAATTTCTTGTATCTTTGATGAGTGTACTTTCTATTCCAATAATGGTGTATACAATCATTAGATTCACAAGGATAAGTACCTAATTCGCAAGAAGTCTAAAGAACAAGGTCTGATGGTTTCTGACTTTATTCTTCTACGCAATCGACTGGAAATGCTCTCGTCTAATCCATTAGTGACACTCCTACAATCTCGTGACCTTGAACCAATTTCAGGACTTCAAATTCATCCCCGACAGACAATTGAATACATCAAAGTTGGTAAAAAATCTTGGTAGAAAGGGGACAACCTAATATACCAAGTCCTCAATATTATCATTTCAATTTTTGAAGTTACATTTCCTAATACTCAGGCACTTTTTCTCTTCAACAATATCACCTCCCATACTGTGGATATACCTGATGCACTTTGTGCATCATACATGAATATAGATCCTGGCAGAAAACAGTTTTTTTTTTCAAAACAGATAGTATTATAAACGAAATGAAGTCACACTATATATACAAAAGATGAGCTTTGATATAGATGATGATTCTATTCCATCAAAGTGGAGAAGTAAGGTAAATGCTTATAAGAGAGTTTTACAAGAATGTGACCTATGGCCAGAAAATGGATTAAGACATAACTGTAAGAGCAGGAAGAACAAATAAGACAGAAGTCATTTTAGTGATTCATATTGTGCAAGATGCCTACTATTAGTGCAGCCTGACTTTTTAGAACAAAAGTCATGTATTCAAGAGGAAATTGAGAAGAGAGACCATCTTTAAATGTTTTTCCCCAAATTTTACATCAAACTAAATTGGATTGAATACCGATAGGAAGAGCAAAGTGGTATATGAGGAAGAACTACCAGTATCATTAGCCTTCATTGGTCAAGATGGTACTAAAGGCTTTGTAGTAAATTTCTTTACTTCTATTACTCAAATACTAGTAGCATAATATGCTTCTAGTATTTCAGTACTCTTTGTTAAGAATACCTGAATCTGATACCTAGAAGTCACACTAAGTAGGGCAACCTCACCTGGAATCGAAATCCCTGGTCTCCAACACCCCCCTTCGACCCTCTTACGAGTCCCACAGGTTATTATACATATTAATCTCAGTTGCGTCCTGTAACTATAATACCGCATACTTGAAGGTGTCAGAATAATACCATATACGTCGCCGCTGGCTGTCTGACCGGATCGAGTTTATGGGATATATGAGCGGAGATCTTTGGCTAGGTCTGATAAGTGGAACAGAATAGATCTATCAACTACTCAGAATATTACTAGACTTTACACATGTGATATCTTTGGCATGGACTTTAGGTAACGGGATGTTTTTGCACAAAAAGATAGTATTGAATGGTAAAGGATCTCAGCAAGAGACCAATATATTCATATCCACCCTACAATATCCAGAAGAGTCTATAATATTAAAG